TAAATTAAGTGTATTTGCCCTTAATATGAGCAGGTTAATGAGACAGTTTGCCAATGGAATGAGTATTTTTACTCTGAAAATAAGAAAATTAGATAATATGTACTTGAAATAAGACAATTTCATATTTTTTTTCTTATTTTAAATGTAAAATTTCTCGTTCTATTGGCAAACTGTTTCAATTACCACCTCAGTTCAAGAAAAAATGCGCTCATTTTAGGAAAAAATTACATTTTTTGCAGTGTTAATAATCCCAGAGATAAATTACTTTAGTTACATTACTCCATATGTAATAGAGTGACTATAGAACAAGTTTGATAGAACACAAATTCATACAATACGGCTCCATCTCGCCATCCGTTTGGGGTCCTTGGGCTGGAAAACGTTGCTATAAAAGCCTAAATTGTTGTATATTCTGTAGCGACAGCAGCTGTAATCCATCACTACAATCAATCAGTACTTTAAATAACTTCACAACAACCGTTTTCTTCTTACTTCTTTATTTATAACGATGCTTACATTTACAAACCCTGAAGGAAAACATCCAAAACAAACAAAAAAAACAATAAAAAGGTCACATGTGGGAAATTTCAGGACGCCTTCAGGGTCCGTTGTTCCTCCCTATAAAGAGCACTTGGACTTTATTAGTGTAACAATAATCGTCAGGATACAGAACCATCAACCCGATTAGTTCAAGCAGGACGGGTTGGACCCACAAACGTACAAAATAAAAAATAAACTGGAGGTATGGAAAAGAACATATTTTATATTTATTTTATTTATCAGCAAAGCAAACCTGGGATATTTGATACCGCTGGTTTACGGTTAATCTGAGCTGTAGTGTCCCGGCAACCATTAACAGAACCGCCCCCCCAAAAAAACCGTATAAAAAATATAAAATTCAAACAGGGGCTGAAACATTCAGATAAAAACAAACAGCAGAAAGATGATTGGAGGTGGAAATCTATGAAATGAATGTTTAAGGTTCAAAAAATGCTTTAAATTATTTGTTAGTAGAAGCTGAACTCTGGGTGCCTCTTATTTGTTCGTTAAAACGGAGAAAAACCAAATGGGGTCATTTTAGGGTCCTTTACATTCATCGTTCCTTTGGCAGACAAAGTTTTCACACCTCTTTTCTCCGACCGTCCCTGAAAGCCTCCAAACACCAGGCTAATATTTCACAAAGTGCATTAATATGATCCGATAGCATGAAGCTGGAATACACGCAGATTATGACCATTTTTAATAATAATCTGATTAAATATTTGGATTTTAATAAATGTTTAGTGATAGTTTAATGATAAAAAGGCTAAATGTTTCGCTGATATTAAATCCGATGCAATAAGTGGATTTTTTAATTTTGCCTTTTATAGGAATTTTATAATTTTACTCCCCCCAAATAATTAGTGTTTATTTTTCATAACTTAAATCTAAATTAGTGCTTTGACTTGATCACTATGTGAGCTGATGTCTCCATCGCCCTAAAGCCAGTTTCCATGCAGCAGGTTTCTGAGGGCGTGTTGCCTTCAGGTTGACGTGGTAAAAGGAGACTTGAAGCGGGAATGTGGACCCGTGAGTCCAGAACAGAACCTTCTGGTCTTTATTTGCACTTGAGCAAAGCCTCCTGCATCTTCTGCTGGACGTGCTCCATCTTCTCGGCCCACTCCTCGCTCAGGCCCTCCTCGTCGTCGCCGATGACGGCGGCGTAGCCCATGAGGGCGATGAGGCCGATGCAGAACAGGTAGGTGAGGCGCGTGCAGAGGCGCTCCATGATGCGGCGGTCGCCCTGGGAGTGCTTCAGGTAGACCTCCAGGATGGGCCTGCTGAAGAGCTTGGGTTTCCCCACCACGCCGTCGTACAGGGTGTGCAGGTTCTGGTCGCCCAGGTCGTTGGCGTAGCTCTCCTCGAAGTCGTCCTTCTTGCCCTCGCGGTGCTCCGGCCTCGCCTCCACCATCGCCATGAACTTCCTGAACTGGTTCTTCAGGTTCTCCTCCACGCGGCAGTACTGGCCGTCCAGCGTCTCCTTCTCGATCTGAACCAGCGTCCGGCGGTTCTGCTGGGAGATCTCGTTCAGCTTTTGGTTGACCGACCCAAACTCGCGCTTCAGGGTGCGGATGTCCTCGTCGTCGATGTGGTGCAGCACCACCCGGATCAGGGAGCCGGCCACGCCGAAAATGGGGTTAACCACGGCCGCCGCCGAGGAGATGCTGGCTACACAGTGGAGGACTTTGACTAGGCCCTGCTTCAGCTTGGTGTGGTCCTCCTGGATCTCCTCATCCGTCATGGTGGCGATGATCTGGAGAAAGGAAAAGATGACAGCCGTTTTACCCGCCGCTCGTCTCGTTTAAAGCAGAGCGCCCCCCCCCCCGACAATGACTCTTCATCACTTTGGCTAAAAAGGAGGAAGAGTCAGTTGAGCTTTGGAGAATCGATACCCAAACAAATGCTAGTTAGTATTTTTTCCACTGAAAAACTGCGTTGAATTTTCAAAATGACTGAAAATATAATATATATTTATCAAAAGTTTCACAAACCCATTGGAAATGTATTAATTATCGTTTTGCCCCCCCATTTTCAAACTTCAATTTTGAAATGGCATGGTAATAAATAAAATAAATCTTGGTGGATATCTCCTTAGAACTGAATGTAAAAATGACTCGTGGATTTTTAGATGTTGCAGATTTAAAGCCTCAAAATGTAAATAAAAATAAATTAAAATAAATTATTTGGGCTGAAAAAAATGAAAATAAATCCTTTTTTAAACTTTGTGCTGAAAAAGTTTTTTTTTTTTTTAAAAAGGAACATTTTAACAGAATAAAAGCTAAAAGACCAAAGTCTCAATCATGCTGTACCCATACTCTACCACTAGAGGGCAGTGTTTCACATTCTCTACCAAGATAGAGCCTTTTGCTTTGAAATCTGTTAAAAATGTTGTGCTGCTATGATTTTATTGCTGTTAATGGGAACCTTCCCCCCCTAAATCAAATCAAATTTTGCTTTTTTTTTGGTGTTTTTGCAGATTTAGTTAAACAGTTACTGACCAGAGGTCAAAAGGTCAAACACCTGCTCCACCTCAACCCAACCAAACAAAAACGATGTCAAATGTTTGCGTACTTTCGCGCTGATTTTGTTTTAAAACGTTCAAACTTAAAAACTTTCGGCAACTTTATAACAGAAGCAGCACAAACGTAGAATTTTCTCCACAAAATTCCTTTTAAAGCAAATCTGAGGTGTTTTTATAGCATATTTGAGATCTTAGAAAGAGTCCAAACTAAGGTTACTTCTTCTAATGTTTTTGTTTAATGATCCTGCAGTGGAGATGCCAACTGTAGAGCTAGAACTTTTTTTCTGTGGACAGATTTTGTTATTCTGAACCGGGTCTGATCCTTTCAGCTGTGGGAATTTTACGGAAGCTCAGCTGAATCCAACCTGCTGGAGCAGAAAAGGAGCTGCAGCATTCAGACTCGTTTAATAATCAACATTTGAATCCTGGAAAAAAAAGGAGTTCAGTCTCCAGAGTCGATGGAAATGGATCAGAGTCACATTTTACTCGGGAACATTTCGTCTCCAACAGGCTGCGGTTGTCAGCCATGAAAGGGTTAAGAGCCTCCATGTTTTACCGACAGCTTTTCAGCACCAGGCTGCTTCCTGCTTGTTTCTATGGACCGAGCTGATAGCTCCTCTCTGTGACTGAGGCACAGCGTGTGGGCGGAGTCACAGAAACTGCAGCCACCTTTCCAGGCTGCAAAACGTGTTCATTATATAACAGAGACTCACAATACAACATGAGGAAGGAGCTGAGCAGCATTCTGACACCCAGAGACGTGTTCATCTCTGGTTTGAGGCCTCAGGAGGCTGAAGGCCTCAGTCAGCCCTCCTGCTCTTCCCAATACCTCCACTGGGGGGCAGTAAGTGACCCACTTCCACAGAAACAACCCAAGCATCTGATTTCAGCACCACAGCAGTGGACTGACAGCTCTGCCTCAGATTAACCCTTTAATTCCAGGAAGAAAAAGAAAATCTGCCAGTTCTGGACTTTAAAAGCAACAAAAAAAAGGGAGAAAATAAAGAAGTTATTCTAATCTTCAGAAAAAGACACTTTCAGCTGAAAATCTGACCGACATGTTGAGACATTTTAAAATCCGAAGAGCGTTTTGTGGCGCTTCTATTACATAACGTAGATCACAGAAACTTAACTGTTCATTGAAAGATTTTGATCAATCGTTTTATGTTTTTAAAGGATTTTGTGTCTTTTTTTTCTTTCAGAATCTCATTGGTTCCCTTCCTCAACATTATCCAACAAAATCCAACATCCTCTGCAGGTAATTAAAGGCTTCAATTATCTATTTATTTAAACTATAAAGGAAATACTTAGAAAAGCTAATTAAACATGATGGGATTATTAATTGTATTCAATCAGAAATCTGTTTTTTTTATCAACATTTTTATGAATTTTTGATTCGTTCTCTTCACAAGTAATGTTTGACATCCATCAATAAATTTTTAAAAGTTGTACTTTTGTCCCCCATTTGTTTCACATAATAAAAACAGGATCAAATATTCTTACTGGATGAATTTCTTTAATTCCGATAATTTTAAATAGTATAATTTTCAGAGCAGTATTTTGCCGCAGCTATTCTTACATGAAAAACTACAAAAAACATTTATTTTTCTATTAAAACCGTATTTTTTTAGTGATTAGAATCACACCGCATAGCCTTAGGATTAAAGTTTGGTCCTATTCTGCCCAGTCCTGCCCCACATTAACCTGTTTTATTACTTTTATCGATCTAATATTTATCAAACAGCTTTAAAAGCATCTAAATCTGACCAAATTTGACCGATTCTGGGATATTATTCATATTTTAGGAGGATATCAGTGACAGTTTTCAAAATAAAGAAGGATACTCTGTTTAAAACTGAACTAAAAAGTTAATTAGTTGTAATTAAACTGACCAATTACAGCCGTTGAGTCAAAAAGCCATTAAGTGAGCCAGCCAATCACTGCTCAGGGGGGAGCAGGCATCTTTAATCAAAGATAAAAACACCTGAAGCTCAGATTTGATGGATTAATTGGATTTAAATGTAAATAAAATGTGTGTTTGAGCTTTAAAATGAGTGGAGCTGTATTTCTGCTGACTGTCTGACCAGGAAGTGGCTCCTCCAGCTTCTCTCACCTGTTTCCAGGCAGCTCAGAGGCCATCTTGGATGTTTTATTCAGAACAGGAATGCTAGGCTAACCTGAACTTAACTTCTAATCTGACTGATTCTGTTGCTTATGTCCATCAGGCGCATTCAGGGACCTGCTTCAGTTTTCCTTTCTAGCAGTTTGTTGTATTTTCTGATGTTTTTCCCCCACAGAGCTCATGTTGGTGTTAAAAAGAGGCCTCTGGTAGGAAGTAGGATCCAGAAGCTGAAATTCTTCAACCCATTTCTGCACTAATGTCTCAAACATCCTAAAAATCAAGCATCATCCGGTGTTCTTTGTTTGGGAGAGCTATAAAAAGCAGCTCATCTCCTGTGCTGGAGCCCAGAGAGCTGCCTTCCTGCCCAGCTCTGGCTCCCCCTAGCTACCTCTCCATATTTCCTTGTTAGTGCACACCCTGAGCCCTCACCCTCCCTGTCTAAGAAACACATTAAATACACCAAAATACACCTGAAAAGCTGTTTTTTTCGACATATATCCCAAGTAAAGAGTCTCCATTTGCCTCCCAGCCATCATTGGGTCCCATTGGTTTCACCAGAACAGAGGATTTCTTACCTTTTCAGACTGACTCTGTCAAACTCTGCCTTTCCAAAGTCCCAACCTAAACACCCTCCTTCTTCTTCCCAGCAATCCCTGCAAAAAGGACACTTCCATGTATGTTGAATATGTGGGGGTGATCAAATGGGACAAAACCAATTTTTAAATTCAATTTATTCCCTTTAAATTAAAAATAAGATGTTCAGGCTCCATAAAGGCAACAGCTCCAATATGGAACAAAAAATGGCATTTGAAGTGAGTTAAATAATAAATAACCTTACCTCAGAAATACGTGGTCCCACCCCCTGAAATGTAGACTTCTTGTGCTCCATCCAATAGTGGAACAGTTGTTCCAGAGGAGGGTTTGTCAGCGAGTGCGCAGCTGAAGTCCTGGAGACGCTCAGCTGACTTCGGTGCGTTTCCAAACCCTGGAGCATCTTTAAAGGCTGCATATCCAGATCTGATGGACTTTTTGGGTCAAAGGGGATGTTTTTGTTCGGGAAAAGATTTAAAAAGGCGGAGAAAATTTGGAAAACCAGGGTAAAATCCAGCGATACCAAAAGAGCGCAACGAATCCAAAATAGACCTCTCCAAAATGGGAAAGGAGTATCCAAGGCTCAGAAAACGCTTTACAGGCTCCAGGGAGGAAAAATACAAAAAGTCCATCTAAGTTTAAAGGTAAAGGTTCTAATTAAATCAAAAATATTAAGGTTTGGGTGCAAAAAGTTGAAGCTTTACTCAAATAGAGTCAAATTTTAAGTCCAAAAAGGAGCGCAAAGTACAGCAGATGAAATGTTAAAAAATAAAGACACTTTACAATAAGATCAGCTTTTAATTTGACTAATTTTAAATGTTTTTAAACGTTTTTATTATAAATTGGTGCTAATAACATTGGATTATAGATTAATTTACAGAGCAGAGAATGGAGCATGCGCACAGAGCGCATCCATCCAGTGCGCTAAAGCCCCAGCCTGCGCCTCCATCTTGGCTCCAGGAAGCTTAAAATCTTTTCTGTAAAACAGAAAAAGCTTCCAGATCAGCGAAGCTTCGGCTGAGATCCCAGCTCCGACCGTTGGGGATGTTTCCCCCCAAAACAAACCTCATGCAAATGATGCTGCAGCGTGATGAGCCGCTCCGCCTCCACCTGTCAGCCTCCTTCATGTTTTATCTGCATCCTTTTATCACAGCATGAGGAAGAGCTTCTTCCGCCTCCCTGTGAGTCCTGCGGATAGAGAAGCCATCTGCATCCCGCTTTCTCTCTGAAACACCAATCTTTGTGATGCAGCAGCTCAACAGCGGCGCTGTTCTCCTTCTCTGCTCATGAATCAGAAATAAAAGGAGCTTTTTGTCCTTTAAAAAGCACAAAGCTTTCATTCTATCCTCAGACAGTTCTTAGAGGACGTCTTGCATCTGATCGCTGACGCAAACGTCCGCACACAGGCGGCCTTTCTTTAGCGCCAGGAGCGCACAGCAGCCGGCGGCGGGCTGCCTTTGTGCGCAGCAGCTGCGGCTCATGTTTCAGACAGCAGGTGGATCAGCAGCCAGTCAAACTGAAGCACATTTGTTTATGATCCGCAGCTGCGGGCTGTGGAGCTCAGACCTGCATAACATCCATGATCAAAACCCGTTTATCCTTTACTTTGGCAGCTGCTCTAATGTTTAAAGGAATAGTACACCCAAAACATGATTAGCCTTCATTTTCTACTCACCCCCATGCT